TATAGCCAGTGTATACTAATATGACCACACAGTTTTCTTTAAAGCTATAACTGCCAAGACGTTCTGTGACCACAAAGCTGTGTAAAAAGTAACACCCCCAAGCTGTGTCTAGCTGTCTATCAGTGGATTTATCAGCCCAAATGAAGCATTTCAGGCAAAATAATCACTTTAAGGTCATATCATGGTTTCACAGCTGTGTAAAAACTAACACCCCAAGTTTATCTAATTTCCTGTCAGTTAAAAAAACTAATTAATGTTGAAATGAAGTATAGATTTTACACATGATCAATGTACATTCATGTTTCTGATGAAAATTATCACATTTTTAGTGTATTTTCTTTTTTGACATTTCAAAATAAAAGTGGCTATCTGTGACCGTTATTCCTACCATGCAATCCTAAAGGAAATACTGTTATGTAAAAATAATCAATCACCCTTTTTCATGTTTCATACACTAACTGTCATTTCTGAATGGCTGAAACTTCTCTAGATATCTTAAACGATCGTTTTGAATAATGACAATGATATATTCCAAAGCTGTTTTCCCAGGTGTGAAAAGTAAAGCACTATCTGTCAGCTCTTCTGATTAATAGTCTAAATGTTTGCCATCACTCCCTTGCTGTGCCAACACAAGCCTTGTTGTAATGACTCAAGGTCTACTGATTCTTTGTCGTCTGCAAACAGAGTGCCGTCATGTGATGTTAGCTTTGTGTTCAGGTGGAAACATGTTGGCACAGACAGTCATAGGTGTGCAGGTTTCGATTCAAACCAACCGACCTCGGACTTGCCTGCTACTGTTTCTGCCAAGACGCCTCTGTTTGACCAAAAATGGAAACTAGACGTGTTTTGACACTGGAGGGATTCAAATCTCACCCAACGGTATTTCAGTCACATTAAATCAGCTGTGTTGCTGGATGTGGGTTTGAGTCAACAATAATCATCATGTTTATTTGTCGTCTGCAACGAAAATGCAAAAACAATCAAGAAAGTAGGAGTAAATACCTCCTACAGACTCACTTAATCTTGGCCATTTTGATAATCAATCTGTGCTTGTTCAGTATTATATTTATATCAATAATAAGTAGTTCACTGTAATTTGTAAGGAACTCACGTACATGTTTGCCAAATTAGACTCATGAGGCTATTTTAGCTGATCAGAGCAATCTTATCTGGCTCTCCATCTTGGAGGCAAAACAAGAATAGACTCAGTAACTGGGTTGCTCAGTAATATTTAAATCATATTTTTCCAAATATGAAAGTCTAAAAAAAACTCTTTAAAAAGATGAGGGGAATTAAAAGAAAACTTTTAGACATCACAAGGCCTGTGAGCGCATGCTACATAATGCTGAAAGCTGGCCAAAGTGACTGTTATGTTAATAGAAAGTGACTCAGATGTTTTTTGTTAATGGATACTGATTTTTTAAAAGTCATAACTAAATTCTACATGAAATCATGCATGGTTTTAATCATTGGACACAAAGTCACCTAGATTAGCTTTCAGCAACAAACGATAATCTTTGCAAACAAAAAGTCACCAGAAGGACTTTCCAACTTTGGAACTCTGAGCAGAGTTAGGGCCTGTGCCCACTTACAACAGTTTTCTGTCTTGGCAGCATACATGACCTCTATTTCATGAGTGTTTCTTTCCGGAGCATGACACAAGGTGTTGTCTGTTAGCTTTTCAGGTGACTGGAGTGACTTTTAAGCCTATATTAAAATGTGTTGACAACATGGGTGTGTTTTGGACTTGGAAAGCTGAGTGTAGCAAACACAAACGGTTTTGCATAGATGCAAACACTGACAAAAAATCTGCTATCGGTATACATCAGGACTGCTAGTTTTTAAAGGTGGCAGTCCATCCACAAAAGTTTAAATAATATATATATAAAAAAAAAACACAGCAATCATACAGGGGTTGAAGACTTGCTGAGGCATGGTCTGCAAATTTGTTGTTGTTGACAAGTGAAACAGCGGCTATGTTCAAAGTTGACGTACAATTCTATCTTTGTCCTTTATTTCTCCATCTATGGTGCAGAACCAGTGCAGATTTATTTGACCATGTCCTCCATTTTTGTAGTTGTGTTATTGTGTTTGTTCACTGAGGTCAAGAGTACATAGATTGGTCAAGTCACAATAAGAGCACCCCTGCTGGATTATTTGACAAGCTGCTTCAGGCAACATGGTAAACCATATTGTTATGAGTTTTTTTTAACAATAGTTTTAAGAAAAACTTTTCTCCCAGAGCTTAAATGAAGGTTAACATTTTAGATAAGACGTAAGGGGCCATAGTGGACACAGGCCCCAGCAAAACTGAATCAGTTTTCTTGTCATTGTTACTTATAGCCTTCTTTGCAACCAATTCAAAACAATTGTTTTCCACGAGAAATGAGGTCGACATGACTATATACTTCCTGCCAAATGCATAATGAAGTAAAAAAGTGCAGCAGAATACAAGATGGTTGTTTTATTGTTTATTTCTGATGTAAAGTTGAACACTACAATGGGGCTCTATGGGGATTATCTCACTTTTGGGGCCAGCCCCAAGTGGCCACCAGAGGAACTGCAGTTTTTTGGCACTTAAAACTAGCTTTGTTTCATCCACCCATAGTGGTTGCAGCTTGGTGTTTGGCTGAAGAAACAGCTATCCTCTCCCAAAATATTCCTTGGTGGTTCTACATAAATATAACAAAACATTCAAAGATTCTTGCATAAGCAACCCTCTACCACTAGTTATAAACATGAACCAGTGACTAGAAATGTATTAATCATGCAAGGACATTCTCTTTTATAACTGCTTATGTCACCATAAAATGATTTACCCGTTTTCTCTTTCTTTACAACCAACTTCATATTGAACATATTTTTAAGTCTAACCCTGACACTGAGCAGGAGGCCTGTTTTAAGGAATCTAATGTCCTGGTCTTATACACACACACACACACACACACACACACACACACACACACACACACACACACACACACATATCGGTCACAGTCTGAAATCACATTTTCATTAAGAAGAGGTTCTTTTGAATCCTTGTCCTTGATTAACTCTAACACACTGATTTGGAAGCATGCCTCCCCAATCAGCTGACCGCTTTCATACAACACACATTTTGTTTGGTTCCTACGTCACAAATTTCCTTGCACTGATTTTTCTCACAGTAAAAAAGGAAGTTATTTTTGCTCATACCAATGGAAAAACTTACTTCAGAGACACAGAAAAATACTTTAACTCTCATTTATTTACATGCAGCTGATTGGTCCCAGTGTGACTCCTCATAACAAAGCCTGTTCTGGACTCTTTGACTTTTGTGCAGATTTCAAACGCTCATATTTATTTAAAACAGTCTCTATCATCTCATAACAAAAATTAAACATCTGTTCTCTCGTGAATTGATGAAAAATTCAGAAATGCTAAGTGTGTTTTGGTTATGAAGCCACTAGTGACCTGTGGAGTCCAAATTTAAGGACAAGCAAAGTTGACATTTTGCATCGTGGTGGTGTTCAGGGTCAACTCAGGTGAATTTCATAGAACTTCAACTCCCACTATGGATCTTAAGTATACTTAAGTTCTAGACAGAAAACACACAAGTACTCATAACAAAGAGTAGTGACAATTTCAAGTATAATGAGCAGTATTTTAAACAGCAAACTACTGTAAAATATGAATCATCCCACACAAAACAAGGTCTTGAACTCTTAACAGTGCCAATCAGGTCTCCAAGCCTGTATCATGTCCATGTAGTGTTTTTGAAAGAAGATAAGATGGATCTTGGAAAGTGAAACTGCAGCCTGTTGTCTGATTTGGTTGTGTTTCATGACCTGGCGTGTCTCCCAGTCTGAAGTCAAACAAAGGTGACTGTTTCATCACCAAAGTGTTCACCATCAGCTCAGGTAAAATTGAAACTGGTAAGGTAGACAGATCTCAAAGTGAAGTACATTTGCTGCATAATGTTATTGCTGTTGAATGCCAGTGAATTGTAACTGTGTCTTTTTGGATTTATAATATATTTTTCTTTTTTCTTTTTTTGTATCATAAGAGGATCATTATTGTTTATATTGGGATTTCTGTAATTTTATTTTTACCGATTTTTATAACTATATTTTCTTGAAGTGAGTGGAGATACGTGAAAAACTTAGGTCAATTTTTTGTTTTTTTTTGTTTAAGACAGTTTTTCAAAAACACTACTAACATTTTCTATCAAAATTCTGAGACTGAAGTCAGAAAACTGAAATTTCACGTAAAACTCAATGTTAATCTTAGAGGTCTGACTCTAATCTGAGAATTTCTAACTGAAAACTCAAAAATCTATTTAAACCTCAGAATTGTGACTTTAATCTTAGAATTTTGCTTTTAATCTGAGATTAAGAATTCTGAGATTATTTTTAAAAGTCAGATTTAAATCTCAGAATTCTGATGATTATAAGATAAAATAAGATAAGATATTCCTTTATTAGTACCACAAGATGATATTCCAAATTTACAGCGGTGATAAATACAAAACAGAGACTAAAGAATAAAGAAATTTAGGAGTTAAAGGTATAAAAAAGATATACACAAATGAGTGTGATTATCTTTAAATTTTTACTTTAATCCCAAAGTCCTCATTCAAAACTCAAAAGAAGTAATATCTCAATTCTGATTTTGGTCGTACTTGGACAATAATCTTAGAGTCCTCACTGTAATCTCAGACTTTTGGCTTCAATATTAGAGTGTGTCTTATTCTCAAATTACAGACTTAAATCTTAAATCTCTGCCAAAATAAATTTCCATTGGCCCCATCCTCTTTTATGCATTAATTCATCACTTGGTCCACCTATCAAATAACATTATATTTCAAAATATTCAATTGAATCGTTTTCAAATTCCAAATAAGAAAAAAAACTAATATTGGTAGAAATTTGTTTAAAGCAAAACTCATTTATGCAGGGGTCCTTTTGTGATTTTTTTTAACTTGTCAGGAGGCTTGTTGAACAGTTCTACTGTGTTAAAGGCCTGAGGTGACTCCCACTCTGAGGTCAGACTAAGTTGACTGCATTATTGTGGCATTCAGGGTCAGCTCAAGAGTGTTTTTGGTAGAAACCCATACTACTATTCAAACTGCATACGAGCCAGAAAATGTCCTTTGGCTTGTTGATACTGTGTTTGTGCATGTAGTGTGAAAGTGAACTCCAGTCTGAGGATTATGCAACAGTAAATTAGAGTTCATTTGAACAAAGTTTAAAAATTTGTTTCTCGAAAGACCTTTTGGGGTTGACATCATAAATATGTCACAACATCAGCTGGAGGCAAAGCAAAGTGGAACCGGAGGAGTAGACGGTATCATAGGAGTCTTTAATTTCAGCTAGTTGTGTCATTAATCCCAGGTCCCATAGCTAAAATTCTGCTGTATGTGAGCTGCTTCTGCCCATCAACGAGAGTGAAAATCGCGACAAAACGGGACCAGTGAAAAACTGTAAATTTATTAGTTTTCCCATGTGTTATGGTAAGACAGGACAGTAGACAGTGATTGTATATGACTGGTGGCAAACCCCATCTCCATATGAAATCAAAAAAAGATTCAACAATCCTGGAAATCTCAACATAAAACAAGGTCCTTTTTTGATCAGGCTGCAGCACATCAAAATCAGTGGAAATCACTACATGGGCTCAAAATCACTTTAAAATGGTTGTCTGAAAACACAGTTAATCACCGCATCCACAAATGCAGGTCAAAACTGAGAGCAACACATGCTGCCGTCAGACAATGACTTTTTCAGGGATGACCTTCAAGTTTTAATAAGACAATGCCAAACCACATTCTGCATGAATTACAACAGCATGGCTCTGTAGTAGAAGAGTCCTGCTGCTAAACTGGCCTGTCTGCAGTCCTGATTGTCACCCATAGAAAATACTTATACTTAAACTTATTTTCAATCACACAAAGGTCGCTTTCACACCTGACCAAGCGGACTCGGTTCGATTGGGGAGCTGAAAGTCGCAACATTGTTGCATTTATCACTTGTTTGGCTCTGCTTTCACACTGTGATTTCTAAAGCGCACCGAACTATCCGAGCAGCATCACGTGGTTGAAAGGGGCGCTCGTCGATTGGACAAAGTAGGAGGGGTATGTAACCTCACGGATTACAAACAGGGGTGGACTAGCCGTCTTGTATCGTGCTTCGTCACATTATTTTATGGAATGCTACAACGTTAGTGAACGCAACTGTTCCTATAATGCTATCGTAGCTTGTCAGGGATTAATCCTGTTATTTTCCTAACTTTGACGATCTAACATGTGACGACATATGAGCTCAGAGTTTAAGGACTGTGACTGTTGATAGCTGTGATTTGATTTTGTTTAAATACGCCAAATTGTGAATTTAAGGTTTATTGTTGTTCAGACAATTGAGCTAAGCTAGCTAGCAACTGCTAATGTCAGCGGCCATGTGTTGCCATAGCAACAAGTGACGCCGTGCTTCCTCTACCCAAGATGCACTGCGTATGCACTGCGTATAGCGTCATTACGTACATTTGGTCCTGTGTTTGGTCAGGTGAGCTTTCACACTGCATACAAACCGAACCAGGGTTCACTTCCGAGCGAACTGAGACCCGCATTTTCAGGCGGACCTGAGTTCGCTTGTTTAGTCCGCACCAGAGTTCGGATGGGCTTTCACACCTGCCCAAACAAAGCGGACTATCCGAGGAAACGAACTCTGGTCCGTTTAAAGCGGACCAAACAACTCTGGTGTGAAAGCGATCAAAGACTTTAAATGTTTTAAAAACTATCAAACTCTGTTTTTTTTAAATCAATTTTTACACTGTGTCACACCATTATAAGAAATGGGGTTGTAATTCTTGGTATGATTACAAGAAATTAGCTAACAAGGAACATCCTAACCCATTAAGCTGCCATCTGAATGATCCAGCAGGTCAGCGTGTTCGTTCAGAGCCCCTGCAGAGTCTCATTAAGATAAAAGGTTTAAATTCAGAGGACAGCAACAGCGTCTGACCTGTCTGAGACTCCCGGCGTAACTCAGCGGAGCTTTAAATTTAAGCTTTGAAAAGACTTTCTTTGATAGTGTGGAAAACAAGATCTGAGTTTTGATTAGTGTGACGGTTTTACATATGCATGAGGATGGTTGGGGATAAATGGATTTGTCCCACTTTGGTCCTGTCTGCACAATCACTTTCTTTCACGACATGAGACTGTTGTCATACAATTACTTTCTATTTCAGACTATCAGCTCTGCTTTAGCGAGATCTTTTCTATGGAAAACAAACGGTATGTTGACACATTCTGACTAATCATTAAAAGCAAACACACGGGCAGAGAGCAGCGAGGGTTTCAAACTATGACTCAGCCCTTACTACACTGGGAAGCATGAGTTTCCATGTGCCACGACCTGCGCGGATAGAATTGCACACTGACAACACCCATTGGCTGAAAGTAGGTCAAGTTTAGATTCATGTCGTTTACAGTGGATGGTATGTTCACTGCACAGATTCACAGCTGAACATTACAGCCTCAAAAGGATTATATCTTACAGTAACAAAAACCCGCACAATAAGTAAATCGTACACCAACTTATGTTAACATTTAACAAATGTCTCTGGTTTGGTTCATTCATTGACATGTCTCTTCTGGGTGAAAAAAACTGCAGCAGTCAGTGATTCAATCTGTGTCAGACACACCATGAAGCTGCTTTCCATAAAGAAAAAAATGCTAATTTGGCTTTGAAAGTGTATTTTCCATCCAAATAAATTTCCATGAAAGGAAACTTACAGGATACAAGGCTTTAAGAAGACTCATATCATATGTTAACTTAAGTTGTTGTATTGAACAGCAACTGGACACAGGCCAGGAAAGTTCACACTCACTCTTATTTTGTGGAAAGTTTGATTCAAAAATTATTTGTGTTAGGGACTGAAAATTAAGGTCATGTATCTGCCCTAAATAAACCTTTGATGGCTTCAGTAATGTACCACAACTTAAGGATATACCAGGTTGTAAAAAGTGCTGATGCATCATCTGCATATATAGGCCATTCTGTTGGTGCTACATGCTCTTAACCCACAAAACACATTACATCAATCATCAAATAAGCTATTCTTGTTAATCCTCAAGATTTTGACCTTGATTTTTATTCATTATGCTTACCTGCTCATATGTAAGTAAGCAGTTCATCCCCAAAGTAAAACCTGTTGAGTGAATTCAGATGTTCACAACAAAGGACAATTCAAACCATTTTTGTCTCCTGTTATTGTCTTCATTGGTGTTGTTTTTTTTTTATTTCTTGTTTTTTTGTTGTTTCTATTATTATTCATATTGGACTTCACTCCTTTGTTGAATGTTTAATAATTAAAAAAAAAATTAAAAATAAAAAAAAACTCAGAGGAGCTTTAAAGTGGAACAATAATAATGGATAAAATGAACAGTGGAAAGTTGTAGTTTTAGCAGACTAAATTATTATTTATTGGCTTTAAATTATGGATTTTAATTTGAAGATTTTTCTCCAAAAAATTTTAAAACTGGTGACCTAATAATCAATAATAATAATGCAAAAACAGTCCCTGAAGGCAGCGTGGTCATGTCTACGATGTTGTATTTTCCTACGCTACTTGAACCCCCCGCGAGAAGTGTTCCCGCCCTCTCGGGGCTTTGACGTCAGCGACGTCCGTCTCCGCACATGGATGGAGGAGTGTAGAGGCTCCGTCAGTGCTCGCTCGCTCGCTCGGCTCTCCCCCCGCCCTCCTCTGACTTCTCCAGCAGCTATTTGCCAGACAGCCTCAACGACTCAGACAGTCAGCCAGCCGCTCACCGTCCTGCTGCTGCGCGGACTCCCGTCTTCTCCCTCCGAGCCCCGGCGTCGTTTTTACACCGTCTGCGAGGATCTCCACGGGCCGGTCAGCGAGTTTGGTCGCGTCTTTTTAGGGGGGGAATTTCAGCCTCGTGTGTGCGAGTTTTGTTCTCCGGTTGCCCTTCAAGACATATGGAGAAAATGGCCAGACCTCTTCCTCTAAACCCAACTTTCTTACCGCCGACCCACGGCGTGCTGAAATCCCTGCTGGAAAATCCGCTGAAGCTGCCTTTCCATCACGATGAAGGTATGTTTTTTTTTTTTTTTAATCCAAAATTCCAAAGTTAATATGCGCGCAAGCTGACTGCTCCTGCCTCCTGTATCTGTAGTGTCTCTCCGCTGTGTTTTATCAGCCAACACACATTCATGGCTTTGACAGATGAAACGCAGTAAGGGACACCGGTTAAACTAATTAATCCGTAGTGACGCATCTTAATATTTTACAATCTTTGTCGAAATTTGAAATCATATTATCGAATTAGTTTAACGTCCTTCAGAGATAGTGAAAATGAGAGATAACTGTCTTGGTCAAATATTTGTTGACTGACATATTGACTTGAACTCCAGCTCAAAGTGACAAGCTAAGCATATAAAGCATGGCAAGCATATAAAGTCTATTAACGCAATACTGAAGTGCTTGTTATCATGTTTACACAGTTTTAGCTCGTAGGTGCGTTTTTAACCTTTAAACCCTCACGGCTGCAATAAGATTACAGTAGTATTACCACAATTTGTCGATAGAGGGCGTCTTTTCTGCTCTGTTGCTGTGTATACTTGCAGCACTCCCATTATTTGTATTGATAAATGTATTGGATAGTGAACTATCAAACATGAAATTACACCCAGTTTGTCTTCATAGTTAACAGAATATTGACCTGAATATAGAAAAAAGACATTTTTTTAAACAAGTTTCCTAAATATTTTTGTTTTTGTTTTTTTTTTCTGGTATGAAAATGATCAATAATTTTGTGCCTTTTTTACATATATACTTTGTCAGGATATTTTCCTGTGTAATCTTAGAAACACTAAGGTTGTTTCTGAAGGGAAAAAAACTCAAATAAAACATTTTACTCAGAAAAAAAGATAATAAACAAGCATTTGAAATCATTTTAAATGGCCCTATTAGCAGAATAAAATGTCAGAATTTGTTTTTAAGGATTTTAATGACCATGCAAACAGAATCATGTCATTTTCACGATTTAGAAATCAGTTCAATTCACTTTCAGCAGCTTCATTTGGGTGTTTAGTTTGTACACACAAGGCATAAACAAACACAACAATGTACAAACAATAATAAATTAAACAAAAGAGATGTGATACGAGAAAAAAATTCCCCCGAAAAACACTGGGATTAAACAGATTGATAAATAAACTTGAGTAGAGGAAAAAAGGAGTGGTCCACCAAAAGGATAAAGGACCAGTCTTTGTAAAAGGATGAAAAGCCCTTAGAGAAATAAAAAAAACAGGGAGTGTCTTGGAGTGATTTTTTTTACGTCATTACAAATCCCTCTTCAAAGGGAACCTGAAGCAACTTATTTACTCCTATAAGGGCCTCTGGCGGCGCATGCTTTCTTTTTTCTTGAATAAATTGTTGAATTGACCCTTTAAGATGAAGTCCCAGGCAGACTTTCTATTTATACCCACGCTGTGACCCGTGATTTCCTTCTGCCGTGAGACAATGAAATGACTGTGTACAAACATTTACAGGGTTTGGGAAAGACAAGGAGAAAGAGAAGAAGTTGGACGATGAGGCCGCCACCGCCAACCACCCGCAGTCCGCCTTCCTCGGGCCGACTCTGTGGGACAAGACCCTGCCGTACGACGGGGACAATTTCCAGCTGGAGTACATGGACCTGGAAGAGTTCCTGTCGGAGAATGGCATCCCCGCCAACACAGCCCAGAGCGACCCAACCCCGCAGGCTCCTCAGCCGGCGCAACAGGCCCCGGCACCCGCCCCGCCCACCCCCACCACGCCCTCTGTGGTGGACCTGAGCAGTCGCGCCACCACCTCTGTTCACACAGGCATGGCTCCTCAGCCCTGCCTCCACAGCCCCGCCACAGCAGGTAGGAATCACATGCAGAGCAGCCTGATGTGCGCACCTGAACGCCAGGGTTCACACTGTTGTTCACACCTCATGAATGACAGGGGAGGGTTTAGAGACCTGTTAATTTACCCGTCACACACACACAAACACACACACTCCCTCATTGTCCAACTGTCGTATCCTAACAGAGAACAAGCTGCTGAGTTTCCCTGATGCCGTTTTTTTTTCATCCTTCAGTCCCTGCTGCTTTAGCTTCCCCTCATTAGAGCTTTTCAGCACAGGTCAGATCCACTATGACGTACTTCAGCTCTGATTTACAGCCCTGAACTGGACTTTAGACCCCCAGAGTACAGCTCGAACAGGCAAAAGAAGCAGCACGGTCTAATTCACAAAGCTCTGATTGGCAGAGAGGCCTCTGTGCCATGACTCATGTTTACTGTAGGGTTGTTTCTTTGTGCTTTGGTGGACTCCAAGTTTGTTTTTCTACTGTTCGAGTCTGATTTGTTGGTTTCATTTCCATGTCCAAGAGCTTGGAGGTTTGGGGTGATTAAAAATGTGCTGGAATCAGTCAGTCATTGGAGCTTAATTTACTCTTTGTCCTGCAGTGCAGACTTTAATGTGATTAATTTTTTAAGGCGAGATGTTGATTAATGGAGTTGCTTTTGGTCTCCGAGACCTAGAATAATATTTGAAAACAGTCACTAAAATGTAACCCAATTCCAAAAGAGCTGGGGCGCTGGTTTGCAAATCATCAAAAGCAGCACAAAGACAACATATTGACATTTAAGCTGCAAATTTGGTTGTTAAATTAAAAATATATACTCATCTTAAAACCCGTGGTAGTTGTTTGTTTCTAAAAGGTCATTACAGGGTCATGTTTACCATCATGTGACATCAACTCTTCTTTACCAGCACTCTGTGAATGTTAGTGAATCCAGGAGAAAGTGAACTGTTGTCTCATTTTTTGCCTGATAAAGGATTTTAGCCACGCAACCATTCAGGGTCATTTTGTTGTAACAGCATTCACCTGTTATTCTAATTGCGCTCTAAACACTTACACAGTCATCATGGCTAAGCTGTCATCCCATGCACATAAATAAATCTTTCCTTTTTTGGCTAATGATACTTTTCCCTCGAAGTATCCATTTACCATCCCAGTTGTGAGTGCTGATAATAAGTTGGATTGGTGTTCTTCAGAGCCGAGGATGCTGCATCCATGATTTCCAAACACAAATCTCAAAGTTTGATTTGTTAGACGTCATGTCAGACCGGGTTTTCATCGGGTTTTCTCTTTGCATGGTTCAGTTTTGACCTGCATTCATGGATGTATTCATTCACAATTTGTTGGGATTTTTTGAAGTGATTTAAAGCTGATGCATGTCGAGTTTCAGGATTGGTAATATTATGTTCTGTAAACAATGAAATCCACTATTTTTTTGAGACTTTGCTCTGAGGAAGGTTTTCTGAAATCGCTGAAGAATTAGCTCATGCTGTCTCTCTCCTCCCATCTCTTCACAGTCATGTTTACTAACCTGCTGCAGAGAGTTTTGTTGTCACTGTGGCAACTTTGTCGAGACATTTTCCCACATATCAAATCTGATATGTCGTCTTTCTTTGCTCTATATTTAATTAAAATACTCTAAAATTCTCTTTCTACAACGTTTTTGTCCCAACTTTAGAGGAAGTGGGGTTGTACTGAAAAGCTGGGCGTGAGTCTCAAAGCGAGTACACCCTCTTTTTTCTACTGAGGACATGTTATTTTGCAGATAAGTCACACTGTTGCTGCTTAAATGGATCTTTCCTTGGTGTAAAATCATGTTATGCCACCGAGTTGACAGTAAGTAGTCAGCCGGTATTTAGACTGGAGTGTTAAACCGTGTTAGTGAGTTCTTTAAGCTGCTGCCAGACGCTATTTATTTGGGTTTTCAATTCCTCAGACACCAGAACGATTTGAACCTTTTAAATGAGCCGACCTTCACTGTAAACACAAACAGGGCCAAGTCTCAACAGGCAAAAACACGACCGCGCGACCTCTAGAGACGTTCAGTGTTTCAAACTGATTAAATCTGTGTGTGAGGCCGACTTGGTGTGTTGTACCTGTAAACGCAGCTGAGGTGTGGTCCTGCTGAACAGCAGTGTGTTTTGTTTCACTGACAGGACCTCAGAGAGCTTGTTAGCCAGCAATTTCATCAAATATTTAGGAACGACTGTAATGTTTGCAGACTGAATTTCTCTGCAAAAGTAACAGCTTTTTTCCGCCCTGATATTTGTCATTTGTCCAATCCTTTTACTCATATTTTGGCAAAAGTTATCCCTGAAAGAAACAAAACCTCACGGCCACAACAATATGTGAAATATTGGGACTATTTGTGCCAAACGTTGGCACAGTGTTTTTTCGACCTCCACAGCTGGTGAGCCACCACCACTGAGACCATCCTGATAGCGTGTTTTGTCTTTATTTTGAAGGTTAAGAAGAAGGAAACCAGTAATGTGGTGAATATGTCCTCAGACACAGACCGACTCTGTTAGTGGTTAGTCACCGGCTAATATTAAACCCACGTCATGGAGCACCTTTATGACAGAGGTGTGTCGACTTTGGCCGACTTGTTTAGCAGTTAAGATGGATAATAACAGGAAAAAATATTCATACGATGGCGTGTCATGGAAAAAGAAAAACACTTCAACATCGAAATATTAAAATTCATGATACGAAATACATCTAAAACATTTATAATGAAAGTTTACAGGCTGCAAATGCTACAGGCATGACAATTCCTTTCATTACTCTGATATACTTAGAGCTTTATTGATTAACTTTCAACAAGATTCAACAAGTGTCAAACTGCACATCCTAATTAAAGGGGCCTCATTAACTATTAAGATTAAATGAGGTTCTCTGAATAAAGTGTGAAATGACAAGAATTAAGTCATAGGATCACATTGAATAAAGGAAAAAAGAGCAAATTTATAGGAGTGAAGTTGTAGTTTTATTTGAATTAATATGTAAATTTATAAGACTAAGTTGTTTTTCAAAGAAAATCATCTTGTGTAGGAAATTTTTGAAAGTTTTTAAGAACGAAAAAAAATTAAACTATTTAATTTATTTAATATTTAAGTATTTTTTAAGATCAGCCATAATGTGGTAAGAAAAATAAATTCAAAGAGTTGTAAAACTCCAAAGGTCAAAGTCCGTCTGATGTGATTAAATCATAAATAAAGTCAGATTATTTTACAAATTATAAAGTCTTAATATTACAAGACTAAAGTTGTTGATGGATAATAAATTAAATCAATAAAAAAATCAGAATTAGGTGTTAGTTCAATGAAATTATCATCATTACAGACAAGTTAGAAATGAATGGGAACAAAGATTTTTTAAGAATAAAAAATGAAGTAAGACAAAAAAAATCAAAAATTTGGTTTGATAGTCACAAACTTGCAATGATGGCAGAAATGTAAAGAAATTAAAAAAATATAAAATAAATAAATAATAAATATATAAATAAATAAAACAGAGACTGCAGGTGAGTTAAGGAGAACACGTCAAATAGACATGTCTGTACTGACGTAAACCTTTTAATATGATGCATTATATTATGATGTTGTATGCAGTTTTCATGATATTAGATTTATGCTGTCAAATTACAAAAAAAAAAAAAGACATCAAAAAAAAAAAAAACACGCAAATGTCAAGCAGTGTCATACTGGATATCCATTTGTCAATAGCAGCAAAGTAACAAAGATATCAGCCGTAAGCTTTAAGTTAGAGACTGAAACAGTTTTGATATAGTTTTAAAAATAAACACAGAATGGTCGAGTTCAGTCTTTGTAGCTGCTTACTGCCCCAGAAAGGACTCTTATCACAGGAAATGTCTGCGTGAGCTTTAGAAGCTGTTGTTTTAGCCTCCTTCCCCTTTTTCTGTTTTTTTTGCGAAGTTCCTACGAAATGAAACTTCGCGACCTCGTTTCCAGACGTCATCGTCAATTATTCAGTCGTTACATCCTGTCAATACCATGGAACAGACCACATTATCGAAAAAAAGATGATTTTTTACATATATGTGACAAACAAATCAAACAAACCATCAGTGACTTGACTGACACTTTATATAGTCTAACTTCTAAAACCTGAAACTGATGTGAGTGGAAAAAGCCTCATTTTCTTATTCCGTATGTTACAGTTTCACAATAAATGATATATTTGATCATCAAAAGTCAGACTTAGTTCAAGCTTTAAGAGGACGTTAAAACAAAAAAGTTTCGTCCACAAGGGTGCCATAATGGAAAGTTCCTGACAGGAGCTTTAAAAAGCTTATTTGCATGAAAAACAGCTCAATAAAGAAAGAGAATTAGGTTTAAAAACTCGGGCACCCTCACTGCAAGCTTGAATCTAATTAGCTTTAATATAAATGATTATCAGCTACCTTATTAATCAATCAGACGGTTTGTTTTGTTGAAATATTTCAGTCACAAGACATTATGTCCAAGCAGAATACCGGGGTGTACGCTGTTTGTTCGGAGAGCAGACCAGACCAAAATAAAACGATATTGATATCTAATTGAATGTGTTTCCCTCTAAATGAAACCCACATGTCCCTGAGTGTAACACGGTATCTCAGGGTTTTCAACTTCCAGTGTGCAAAGAGGTGTGCAGACGACATGGATCAAGTTTGAGCTCCAGTGTGAGAACAGAGCCGTCAGAGATAACGAGATGCGTCTGTACAGTACACTTTATTCCAGCCGCAGTGCATGTGAGTGTGTGTGTGTGTGCACACGCGTGTATGTGAAGAGTACAGAGTCCTTTTGTGTGTGTGTGTGTGTGTGTGTTGTGTGTTTTGCTCGGTCTCTGTCTGTGTCTTCACATTTACCTCTCACGTGAACGCGGCTGGGGTTTCCTGCAGTGTGCTGGGCCATGTGACAGACACATGCGGGCGCCGTGTGCAGAACGGAGCTACAAACAGGAGCTTGTCACGGCATGTAGCTCCCTCCTCCTCCTCCTCCTCCTCCTCCTCTCCCCTTCCTCACTCAACCCCCCCCCCCCCCTCCCTCTCAGAGCTCTCCTCTCCTCTGTCCGGTCTTCCTCTCCCTCCCCGGCCGAGACTGGCTCCGGCACAGCCCCGGACTCGGAGCCAAGGCACAGGCTGTACCCTGTAGAGATCACATGGACTCTGGTGTGCTTTTGTCACGTGTGAGCAATGCTGTTCCAGCTCGGCGAGTCTGTTCTAACCAGCCGCTCCACAGACAACACCACAACAACAAGCCACAATAACCACAGCACCCTCTGTGCCTACTCCCTGCTGCGCACAACCACGGCAGCAAGGCTCCCGATAGCAGCATCGCCACAACAAGACCCGTTTCCGTGTTTTTCTCCGCTGCAGGCGTTCATTGGGCAGGTTTGCAGGATCTAAAGGGGAAGTCAGATGTAGGAGGGGGTCAGAGGGTGTGTTGTTGTGGTGCATTCCTCTGTATTGGTCAAGGAAAAGAGGCCCCACTGGGATACTTAACCGCACATTCAAGTGGCTAAACATGGACTTCATAAGGCAGGAATAATTCATGGCGTCAGAGGCAGGAGACCTTGTCAGACCTGCTCTCTCACCCAGTATTTCTTCGTAGTACCCTCTGGCCCGGTTTCATGCAAACTGAGTAGCCTTCCTCTCAGATGTCTCGTCATGTGGACGCCTGAGGGCAGGATCAACATGTACTACATGATCTGGAGGAACAAAGTCCTCCTGACTGCACTTAATTCTGCAGGGTTTGTCTCATAAATCAATTTGAGGACATTGGAGTAACTTGTGCATGAAATTAACGACAAAATGAGTCTTGTACAAGTTTCTTTCTGGTTAAAGAACAAGATGTTCATCTGCTGTAAAAGAAATCAAAGTCGTATATCTGTCTTTATCACATCCTGTCATTTCATGAAGGTTTTACTTTGGATTTATGGTCATAAACTCAACCGTTACGTAATCAGACGAGTTCAATCACTTTGCAAATGCATGAAAATTGACATGAAACTTGAAAAACCCCAAACTCATGATGGTTTTTTGGCAAATTTAGTTAAATAACCCCCTAAAAGCAGTAGTTAAAAGCATGCTGAAAACATCATAAACCTGCAGAAACCATTAGTCCTGCTGCTCTCCGCTCTTTTCTCATCCTGTAAGATTCATTAGTTTTTGGTTTTATCAAGTAAGTGTTTTAAAAAGCATAGATTTGCATTCAAGGAAGTTATTATGACTTTTTCCCTCCAAATTAAATACAATTTTATTTTGAAATATAAAACTTTTTCTGAATTTACAGTTTGAAAGCTTTGTGACTCATACTCATACTGGTATTTTGCACAACCTCAGGATTTTTAGTTCTGTTTTTGTACATTTTGATGCAAACTTATTATCTTAGATCCCTTTGTAAGAAGAGTGCCTACTTTTAGGCTCAGACGATTGATTAAGCTCCAAGATTTTGTCTTCTCGGAGTCATAAAAACAAGATAACCAAGTTGAAACCGTCGCTGCTTTTTGTCCTATTTGGCGCACACTCTCCTCAATCACTGAAGAGCATGACGGCTTTAATGCGTCATCATCAGGAGCTCAGCATGATCCGTACCTAAGAGGCTGTTTACTCCAAAACATACAGGCGCTAAATAAATGTGTGTGGCAACTTTGCTGTTTTTGTTTGTGTACATTTAGGCATCTGGGCAGGCAAAACGCAAACTTTTCAAACCAGGCTTTTCAAAACGTGGTCTTTCACTGCAAAGTTGTGGTGACAGCTACTGGTCTGGCGTGCAAACTGCAGCACTTTCTGTTGTTTTTGCAGACCTGAGCGCACCTGAATTGTCGTATAAAGGTAGACTTTTGTTAAGATGCAAAGTTAAGACCTTTCTGTTTTCGCGGAGGATGTTCTCGTCCAAATAAAGCCAAAGTTTGAGAGCACAAAGAAGTTTCAAAATATTTCTAGGAGGGAAATGCTGTGCGGCACTGCTCGGGCGAAGAGCTGGTGTGTGTTAGTAAAGCAGAGGGACGGAGTGAGCAGGAGGAGAGAGTGAATTTTAGAAGATGACAGGAACGTTTTATCAAACAAAAACAGTGAAATGATTCATTCTGTTTTCTTTCATTTATTTATATCTTTATTTTTAAAAAGTTTGAAGATGTTTCATGTCACTACTCGCTAAGCTATTTGCTAACTCTGGTTTTTCTTTTGGGTAGATTTAAACAAAAACAAACCACAAATATTTACTGTGACAAAAATAGTAAAAATCTTAGCTACCTCTAAACATGGATACTTAAGAAGTTTTAACCAACTTTGCCTAAAAAAGGGGAAAGGTGAACATTTCAGGGACTATTTTCTGTTGTGGATTGATACGCATTCTCAATTCTTGTTGGCACTGAAGATGGCAAGAAAGTACTCGTCGGTACGGTGTTTAATTGATGGTTTTGGTTTGTTGACATTACAAACATCTTGAACGGTAGTCGTGAACACACAGGAACCTGTTTCACCAGTTTTGATTCATCTCGTCGAACAAATCAGAGGGTAGGATGTCGTTTTGTGTTATTTCGGGTCTTTATTTTAGCTCATTTTGTGTGTAAGAGAAAGAAAAATTCTGATTGTAAGACGATGTTTGGAAAGACTTCAATGAACTCAGACAGGTTGAAGAAGTGCATTTTTTGGGACTACTTTCAGCTGCGGATTGAGACAGCGTTCTTTGCCGCTGTTAAAAAATGTATCACATTGTTTTTGTGGTCATGTGAACCGGTCAGACTTGTTCCAGGTACTTTGTTCAATCAAGAAAATACTTCGAAGCTGATCAGACTAAAACCTGTTTGGCCTCCAGCTCGACGGCTCTGACTTTAAGACGAAGGAGTGGTTGTTGTTTTTCTGTCCCGTGTCGTTCCTGGGTCAAAGTTCGGCTGCTCGACCGCATGATAACACTCACACTGACACTGATATGATCCTGTAGCGTGACAGACCTGCAGCCAGGTGTGTGTGTCAGCAGAAAAATCTTCGAATGAAAAAATAAAAAAACAGGTTTTACAGGTGGTCAGTTGAGTCCATTTCAGGGACTTTTTGTTTTGTAGGTCAGGTCAGGTCTGACTTTTCCTGGTTCATTAAATTTAGACCTCCAGTCGAACGATTATTTCCTCACAGTAAAGACTCAAAGTCGTTATTTGTGGAAGTTACAGGTCAATGAACGGGCTCGTACCTCTGCTTTTAGCTCATGACCACGCCGCCGTGCTTTAATGGTGCTAATTCAGAGTACAGAACGACCCGCCGAGGCGATTAGGGTGAGGAGTGGCAGACTATTTGCAGGTTTGAGTTCAGGGCTGACGGATTGCCGACGACAGCGTCTAGTTTTAGTCAGTAAGGAGCTTTCTGTCTGCGCTGCTCCCCTCATGAATGGAAGGAGCTGGAGTTAAATATGTGTAGCTCAGCTTATGCAGGAGTGGATTAGCTGGACAATAACAGTGAGTGAAGTCATGGGATTCAGGAGCTGGTTACAGAAAGATCCTTATTTTAAAGGTTGCATGTAAGAAAAAGAGTCTCGGCTCACTATTTGCATAAGCCATCAGGTCCTACTTTGCAAAATGCGTCATCAATAAAAATGTTTATTTAATAATTATACGAGCAGGAATACCAATATTATCTGAATTATTTAAAAGTTAAAAATACATTTTGTTCCAGACGGTTGGAAAAAAAAACATGCAAATTCAGGATGGAGCTCAAATTGAATAATTTATCTGGAAACAGAAAGTCCAAAAGTAAAAGATTCATGAATGATTAAAATACAAAGAGTGTCCTTTTACCAACAATGCAACTCGTCTTACATCATATCCTCCAAGAATGATCAGAATTACATAATTCGGCACAAATTAACGCTCTCATAAAAAGAAACACATTGTGCCAAGACCATTTGCATAATTGCATTCCCCTATTTATTTTATTAAAGCTTACTCCAGCTTGAAAATTAAATCTGTTTCTGCCCAGGCTCGGGCAAAAGGGCAAATGAAAATGAAGGGAATGAATCTTTGATGGTGTTTTAACATAAATCCCACACAGCCGTGATTATTAAGCTAAATTTGATCTTTTTTTTTTAGCCTTAGTCTGTTTTTTTTTTTCCATTTGCAAAGACATGAAGACAGAGCCGCCCAAGCCTCAATGGGGCTCTAAGAAAAATTTGATTTTGGGGTCCTCTGTTTCTGCCAATAATATTGATTGTTGATCATTCACACACCTACTACAGTATAAATTAAATGCACCTGACATGTCTTTACACATTTAAGGGGGTGGTCTAGGTAATAACATAAATAATACCAATATAACCATACAAATAATACCAATGAATGATGTTCAGGGTGCCACATATGGTTTTAATCTCAAAGTGCAACACATTCAGCTACAAGAGCGGCCTGGGGTTGATTTTCACAACATACCAAGTAATAAAGCATTGTGTTCGCTGTAGGGCCCGACCGATATGGATTTTTTGGGGCCAATGCCGATACCGATTATTAGGGGGGAAAAAAATCTGATCGGCGAAAATCAGCGAGTTTTGGCCGACTACCGATTTGTCTCAAACGGGCTAAAACTGGCCAATTTAATCAGCTCGCCGATAAATCGGTTGGGCCCTAGTTTACTGTAAAAGTGCCATCATAGGCCTACATCAGCAGCAGCAGTAAAATATTTTAATTTTAATTTTTACAAAAAGATATATTGGATCATACAGACAGCACTACTCATAAATGCAAAAAAATAAAAAACATTTATTATTATTATTTTTTTAATTGCTCTTGGGGGCCCCCTACTGGCCACAGGCCCTAAGCAGACTTCTCACTAGAAAAGAAAAACAAAAGAGTTGAGAAATAGTCTCGTGAAAAAGCTGCAGCAGCAAAGTCACTCCAGTGCCTTAGTTTGGTTAGTGTAGTTTAAGCAAACATAACACTTCAATGTGTGATACTTTTTAATCCTTTTTTAATAGTTTTTTGTCATTTTAGAAGGAGTTTTTTGAGTACTTTTGTACGGGGATGATGTACGGGGACATCGGCGACGAATGGAAAAGCTCCTCTCTGTGATGCTCACAGCTGTTGCTAGCCCAGCTTTTTAGCACCAAAGAGAGGGAATGCAGGTGTGGTTAGAGCGGTGAAACAAATGAATGCAGTGAATCATGGAGAAGTAGTTTCATTCAGGCTGATTAATGAACTGAGTCACCCTGCACAGCTCGGCCCCCGCAGCTTCAAATCAATGAGTTTTTCGCAGACATGAAGGCATGCAGGTCGAACGGAGACGGGTTCGAGAGAAAAAGTGGAGGTTTGGGGGTCAGCTGACAGGAGCTGCTGATAGCTGCACAGTTTCAGATAAGACAGGTCGTGGGATGACTTCCATACCTGCGATTTTGCAGCTTGTGTGACAGCACCACCTGCTGCCCAAGAAAGACTTTGCAGCTAGATTACCCTGCAAACCTCGAGACCATGATGCTTTTCGCTTCAAAGCATAAGATCTACACAGATACATCTTTGTTTCAGAGATGAAAATACTGCAATGAACTGAAAATACTCTTGAACCCCAGTGACTAAAGTTTGTTTAAAGAACACAGGAGTTGATCGTCTACTTTTGCCCTAAACATGCCCCAAAACTCAACAAACTGCAAGTGAATCAGGCCTCACTAAAAAAAATTTATCTTGTGGATTTTGTGCAAAAACTTGGCTCAATATCTCTCCTTGTCTGAGTCTTTAAACATCCTCTCTACTGGGTTCAACAGAAGTGAATGAAAATCAGGCCAGAATCTGGATTTCGTGTCCCTGTTTGCTCTTAAACCTCAAGGTCTTGACATGAAACAGGAAGTTGTTGTCACTCCCTCATACTGCGTGCGATCTGTTCCAAATTTCATATGCATGAGCAATACCACTGAACATATAAACACACACTAACTTCTTAACTATAGTTATAGTGCCACCCTCTGGGGATACAAGGTACTGACTTTAACATACAATATCCAAGATGCTCCATATTTCATATGTTCGATGACGGCTCCAGCCTGAACTGAATCATATTTAACTCTTGGTCTTCAGCAGTATCTTCTCTTTTTATTTAAGTGGACATATTTATACTGACAGTCTAGGTTTGTACAGATTTACACTTTTTATTTGGTCCACAGGGGCAGCTGATTTCAGAGGCACCACCAAACCTCATTGAAAAATACGGCAATTCTAGCTCAAGGTTGTTGCGTTAGCGTTTTGTGTTGTTGTGGTGTTGTTTTAGTAGTTGAACACCAAAGTCACACAATATTAGCTCACTCCGGCAAAGGTAATTTTGTGTGCAACTTAAAATTGTAGTGTGAGGTTTGGTTTATAGTGAGGTTTGGTGACATTGAGGAGAGTTAGGGCTGTCTCCGGCTCATATTTGTTGTCTCAAAAATACTAATTTTTTGTTGAAAAAGGTTGTTGCTGTAGAGATCCTTTGTGTGATTTTTGTCAAGCTATTAAAATGACAGTGTGAGCCAGCCAGTCAGTGATGGACACAAGAGCGTTTAGTGAGCCTGTCTGGAAAGAGAAGCACTTTTGAAGTCTTTTTTTTTCTTATTCAGACCTCAAAATTTGTTAAAATTTGACCCTCAACTCGACTGTTAAGAGTCGTGAGGAGTCTGCATGTTTTAGATTTGTTCAACAGCACCCCCTGCTGGTTCGATGTTTTGCCTCAAGCAGAGCAGTCACCTCATTTCACATCCACACCGATGCACAAGCTCCAGTCTGACATTTCTTCATGGATCAGCAGCTGAACCGGAGCTTGTGAGCAGAGAGGGAAGAAAGGCGGCATTCAGCTCCCCCTCTGAGGCCTCCTGCTCGGAGCCTCTCCTCAGATACCCCCTCTCCTCCTCCTCCTCCTCCTCCTGTGTCGTCTGTCAGGCTGAGAGGGCCTCGCTGAAAGGCTCCACATTACATAATCAATAATGGAAACCCACTTTTAACTTTGATGAAGACTTTTCTTTCATAAGAGTCCAAATCTGATGGTTTTGAAGTCCACACCCTGCTGATTCTCTCCACTCTCCCAGATAATAAAAGCTTTTAACTCCCTTTCTGTGCGCTGACTTTTAGCTAACGTGTTCGCTCTCTCTGTGTTTTGTGACCTCAGCCCGGGACACTCCCAGCCCCATTGACCCAGAGTCCATCCAGGTGCCCCTGACCTATGAGCCGGACCCCGCCGACCTGGCTCTGTCCAGCGTCCCCGGCCAGGAGATGTTTGACCCCAGGAAGCGCAAATTTACCGCAGAGGAGCTGAAGCCTCAGCCCATGATCAAGAAGGCCCGCAAGGTTTTCATCCCCGAGGACATGAAGGTGAGGCATGCTCGCTCTTTCAGGGGTGATAGGAGACCAGATCTGTTCGGGGTCTGCTGTTATGTAAGCGGGTCTGAGGCCTGCTGGACCCCGAGGGTAGGAAGATCATAGGCTGAAAACTTCACGCTCAAACACAGGGAGCTCATTAAAAGTGAAAATAACAGCCTCAGCAAATGAAAAAGTGAAAACATGCAAGAACGAGCTGTGGGAGTCATTTCCCAACATATAAACTTTTACCACGATTGAAATTTGGTGGAAGTTTAATAGAAACTCCAGCAAAGTCAGAAGTTAACATTTCTAACGCGTTGACATTTCTTCATCACCTTATCTTTGTAAAATTGTTGGAAAAAAAACTCTGACAAACAAAAATTCAAGATATTAAACATTAAGATGGAGAGAAGAAATACACATAGAAGAAAAAGGGAAAAGGAAAAGGAAAAAAAGACGTAGAAGTGAATGAAATGTTTCGAAACCAAAGAAAAAACACAAAAAATAGACTGTACAAATCAACAAAAAAGATGACGAAAGGGTTCATCAAAAGAAAAGATGAAGTTCAAGGAAAATTTCAGAAAAGACTGGAAGAAAAACTATTAAAGGAGCAAAAAGAAGTCTTAGATATTTTATATGAAACATCTGCGTTTTTCAGTCAGCCTTAAGGTCCTTACACACCGGGGCCGACGTGAATACAAAACGCGAAATTACGAAATATTCAGAGGCGGAGTTGTCCTTCGGGACGTTATCTTTGTCATATTTGTGTCTTTTATCAAAAAGCACTCTGTTCTCTGACATGTAAACAATCAGCCGGTCGGCCATGTTGGATATACTGGTGAATCTGACATTGCAACAACACGCAATCTGATTGGTCAGAAGTGGACACACAGTATGCAAAACTTTAGAAAAATCGACCATGAGCTGAAAAAAATAAATGCCGCAATATCGCAGGACGGGAAAACGTCGCTGATGTGAACGCTTGTATTGACAGGATACGGGATAATCGCACGACAAAAATGCTCCCGGTGGGAAAGGACCTTTAGTCAGGAGATTTGAAAAAAAAAAAACTTTTTTGTCTGTATTAAGTTTTCATTTGTTCCTTCTGCTCCTTCAGGACGATAGGTACTGGGCCCGGCGCAGAAAGAACAATGTCGCAGCCAAGAGGTCACGGGACGCCCGGCGGCTGAAGGAGAACCAGATCGCCATCCGCGCCGGCTTCCTGGAGAAAGAGAACGCCGCTCTCCGCATGGAGGTGGCGGACATGAGGAAGGAGCTCGGCCGCTGCAAGAACATTCTGGCCAAATACGAGGCCCGACATGGGCCCCTGTGAGCCCCTCAAACCCCCCTGTACACCAACCCACACCCACTGTACACCCTGACCCGCCATCCCTGAGTTTTAAGGACAATGTGTCTCTTTTTGTGGCACTGCCCCCGTCCTCCTTCACCTCCCCGCTGTCCTCCCACAGACCTCCTCCCCTCTCCGACCTCCACACACATCTGTATGATTCTGGTATTATGACTGTCATTTTGACTTCTATCATAAGCTTCAATTCATCTGTTCCTTCTTTGATTTCTGTACACATTGTTTGACTAAATATAAATATATATATACATAGATAAATATATGTATTTACACATGCATACTTCCCACTTTAATGTACTGTGAGGAGTTATGAGCCAACCCACCAGCTGAGTCCCCACCCCTCCCCTGCCTCTACCTTCCACTTTTGAGAAATGATGCCATGCTGTTTGTTCACTTTCATACCGATTTTATACATGAGATCAGGACTGAAAACCCCCTACTCCCCCTTTTTCTCTTTTTCTTCTTCTTCTTCTACTTCTGTGTTTTATTGTGTGACGTGTCCGAGAGCCTGACTTAAACCTCCCAAGTTTTGTCTTTTTTAAAACCATGTTCTTCGTTTTTCTCCCATCTTCTCTCTGTGACCCATTTTTCTTGATATTTACTTTTTTTTTCTTTTTGGTTGTCTTAACTTTCTACTGCTCTACAGGAGTGTTCAAAGCAAAAGTAAGAAAATTTGTCTTTATTTCACTTCAGCACGTTAAACTCTCATGAGAGTGGCAGCTTTACTGCATCTACTTTAACGCTGAAACCCCAATATCTTGATTGATACTATCACAATAAACGGGTCAAAATAAAGCTGAAACAGCCACGTGATGTTGCAGATTTTTAAAAAGTAAGAAAAAAAGTTTTGACAGATTTGTAAGCAGCAGGTGAAGCAATTACTCTTAAAATGTTTGTTTTTTTAATGGGGTTTTGTTAAGGAAATCTAATTATTGATTTTGCAAGATTTCCACCCACGTTATTGAACTAAAATGAGCAATTTAAGCTGATTTTCATCTGCAACGGCTTGATATTTTTATGGAACTTCACATTATATGTACTTTACTTCTGGTCTGAACACTGCCAACCAAACCTCTCTGCAGCTTCATGCATTTTAAACCCCCTTTCTCTCCTTCTGTGCAGTCGTGGTTCAGATTTGCAGGTTTCTGTTTTCTTCATCACCCGGACACTGAGCAATAATAATTCCTGTCCAGAACTAAACTAACGTGACTACCTATGTTCCTTACCCCCTCCTGATCTCCCCCTTTCTCTCATTTTCTCTCACCTTTTGTTAACTAAGCTCACCCTTAGTTAACCTCTGCACTAATGCGTGTCTCACAATCTGATCCGCTGATCCTCACTCAAATTTCCTCATATTTATCTACCTTTTATTTCTCAGATGGAAGATTGTTGTTTTTTATATATATATAAATATATGTATTCTGTTGATATAATTGTTAGTATTAATACTACTCTTGACATTGTCGTTTAGCCTCCTCCTCCTCCTTGTTTTCAGACTTAAGCATGATTTTCGAAAAAGCTTTTCGCTAATCTTTCCTTCTCTTTCTTTTTATTTTGCAAAGTTGTTGATAATTCTTTCGGCTTCTGTTCAACTTTAGCATGATTAATATGAGTGTTTTATTTTAGAAATCAATACAGATGTCTGTAGTCTCTCATCGTAGCTCTATGTTTGCCCTCTTTTTTCAAAGATGGCTGTATGAATGTAAAAGATGTTGACACAAAAACAAAAGTTGGATGGTGTTGTCCAATACTGTGGTTAACCCAATCAATTTGTTTACTGCAGACCAAAACGATTCACAACAGAGATGATATATTGGTTACAAGAGATATGTTTATATAAACCGACTCTATAAGTTGTTGTTTTTGTACAGTATTTTTCCTATACATTACTGAACTATGTATTTTAAAGGCACAACAGATCCAGAATATTATTAAAGAATACAAGTATATAACTCAAAGACAAATGCATATAGTGGTATTTTGATAGTCTATATTAGCTGGAAAAATGTGGTAGTTTTACAGAGATTTGTGGCTATTCAGCAGCACTCAAACCTCCAGGGCATTATTATTATTATTATCATGATCATTATTCCTCCGCCATGTCATTAAAATCACATCAAACTCCAATGGAAGCAGGAGTCCAGAAGAGAGAATGTACCGTTACTGCCCACTTTTTAAAAAAAAGAAAATCATCCAGATGAGAAAGACGACTTCGGTTTACAATGCCGATTTTCTCCCTCAAACATTTCGCAGCTTCGAGTCTTTGTGTTTCTTTCTGGGATGAAGTTGCGATGAAGGAAAGGAAGTCTATAGCTGGTAACTCTTGCTGCTGCTCTGTGTGTGAAGTTTCAGTCAGAGTCCCCCCTGCCCACTCCTTTAAATGGTAGCTGTGTTCTGCAAAGCTTTCTGTTAGAGCTGGAGGGTAGGATGCAACCTTTTCCTGATTTTAAAGGCTGATGGTGACTTTTCTGATAATGCTACGGAGGTCAAAAGATGCCAATTTTAACATGATTCAAATGTTAAAAATTTCAAATATTTAGACTTTAATAAATTCTAACCCCTGCTAACAGATTATTAAGTACGTATATTGTTATGTTGGTGATAGCATTGCCGTCTACCAACAGGAACAACTTTATAGTATTAGTTTTTTTATGGCAACCTCTTGGTTTAACAAGAAAGAAAGAAAGAGAGAGAGAGAAAAGATTTTTTTAAAATAAAATTCTTAGATTTTTTTCTGCTTTGCTGATTAAAATAAATTTCACAATGGAAAGCTCTAGCTTAAAAAATGAATAAGAAAAAAAAAAGGAATCCGGAAAAGGTAGTCTGGTTTGAAATGATTTCTTCTAATTTTTGGTTCTCTGCCAAACTGATGTAGGATCACTAAAAATATATACATGAAAAATCTGACAATTTTTTGTTATTACAAAATATTTATGTCTATAATTAATTTTAGGCATGAACGTTTTTTAACATCACACATTAAAGGCAAACCAAGATTTTACTTCAGTTTGAGTGTCAGACTTTTATCTCTTAAAGTTGAAGCATCACTTTTTTACTCTAAAGACTGAAACACTCTAAAAACTGATTCAAATCCCCTTTTCAGCAAAATTAGGAGGCATCATTTTTTTCTCTCTGTCTCTCACAGGATTAAAAAAAAGGAAAACATGTAATTGCCAAACAGAAAATTTGATAAACAACCGTAATAAGGCTAAATTTGTACCTTTTTTTTTAAATGGCAGCTTTGACATCCATAATTCAGCTCAGATGTATGTTTTGAGGAATCACTTTTCCTTTCTTTTTAAAGTTTAAAAAAAAAGAAACAAAAACATAACTAATAATAACAGGAAGACTTGTTGCACTAAACATTATTTTAACTTTACTTTTTGCTTGACACTAAATTTGACATCCATAATCTATGCCGAGTTGTTTTTTTAATTTTGAGGCACCACCTTTACTCTTTTCCACCCAAAGACTACAAAAGCAGACTTAAGACCACTTTGAACAGGAAAGTTTGGTGCACCAAACTTTGTTTTTCATTTTTAAAAACTCTTAGTTTTAAAAAAGTGGCGATCCATGACTTCCGTACAACTGGGTAGAGCCCTTTAAAACTTTGAGGCATCGTTTTTCCTCTTTAGGGTGAAATTGTTTGTAAGAAAAAGCATCGTCAGCCTGAGGGAAAAGTCCGATTCGTTGGTGAAATCTTCATCTCGGCTTGAATGATCTGATCCAAAGGTGTGCGTGTGTGTCTGTGTGCACGTGCGTGTGTGTGAGACGTAAAATAATTATTTTCTTATCACTAATGTCTTTGTATTTTTGCGCTTTAGAGGGTGTTTCCCTTCTGCATCCTTTCTGCACAGAGTGAGAACAGGGTTTGTCAAGGAGAGAGAAGACTGGATAACATTTATAGGAAAAAGCCAATAATTAATCCACGCGTATCCCAAAATTACCTCACTGTCGAGTGATTCACTACCTCACCCGGAAATGTAAACCATAATTCTGAGTCTATTCCAGTGCCTTGAATACACTGACTGTTCCCCAGTCTCTCAGCAATGTAAAGTTCTCATTACCAATCGGTTTTTTGCTTCAGACCTGCACTGAAGGGCTTCTTAGTGCATCGAAAATCGATTTATTACACAAACACACGCGACTCTTCATTTCTTATTTTGGACATTGCAACAGACTTGTAACCATTGTATTCATGGCAACACCAACGGACTGTTTCAGAGTGTAAAAACCACAACAGAGGGTGTATTACCTGTTTGTCAAGGAATGGATAACATAACATTTATTTGTGCTGTTCAGCCCTCAGCCTCTCCGTCTCTCTGTAATTTGTAGTGTCTAATAAAATCCCAATTCTTTTCTGATGTGTCTGCTGCTTGTCATATTTTATATGTGGACTATTATTTAATACTGCAACTATTTACATGACTTTTTTTTAGGAGATTTAATTATGCTGCAGAACATAGTTTTTGTTGCATTGTATATTTTCATGGCAGTCATTCGATTCCAGCGTCTCTTGAATTCCAACACAAGCACACCTGTTTCTGCTTAAAGGTACTGATGAGGTGATCACCTGAACCAAATCTTAATCAAGGAGGAGATATATATAAACCAGTGCTGTGGGCATCACAATCCTGTTGCAATAGGACCAAGTGGATGCCAAAAACAATGCCAGTAGTACATCAAAAGTAATAGTGACAAAAAAATAGCTATTAACATTGCCAAGAGAAAGGAAAAGAAAAGTTTTTATGTGAGGAAAAGAAGGGTTCAAGTCTGGCTCTACTGGCAGAAAGATACTGGAGTTTCAGGTGCTTCAATCCTTAAAATTCCCAAGTCCCAGTTTTACCTGGTTGTCTCACGGTTAGACAGAGACCTTTAGAGGCTGATTCTAACCCACATACAAGATTATCCTGGAGGAAAACTTGCTGTCTTCTCTAAGGGTTGCAGGACAATGCTTCATGCCACACAGCTAGGTCGATTAAGGTGTGGATGAGGAAGCACCAGATTAGGAGATTAAGACCCATTGAAAACCTCTGGGATGTGATCAAGAGGAAAGGGATGGTCACCCAACAGCAATGTGAAAGAATGGTAGAGAGCACACCAAGACGCATGACAGCTGTGATTGCAAATCAGGAGTATTCCACCAAATGTTGATTTCTGAACACATTCTCAGTTAAAACCTAGACTGTATATACTATGGACAACTTGGTTCCACCTTCTGCCAGTATATGGATTTGAAACCAAAAAGCTCTCTGTAATTCTGCGTTTTTTCTCCATTTCCTGAAACCAAATTTGCGGAGGCGGGATTTATGACCTATACTGCATCCCGCTGCCAGAGGGTGCTGTTCTCGGAGTGGCTTCTGCCAGCGAGGAGGCAGACGCTGTCCATTCTATATAAGGTTTAGGCTTAGGTTAGGTTATGTGTTCCTTGAAAATGATCTCTCATTTTTTCCATTATTTGAGGTCTGAAAACACTGGTCCCTTTTTGGTTAATTTGACCACTTTTTCTTTTTTTTTTTTAAGAAAAGTTCTGAATGACAATATTTTTAATTGGAATTTGGGAGTTATGCTCTCAGTAGTTTAGAGAATGAAACAGAAATGTTAATTTTACTCAAACACATTCCTAGAAAATGTTTATTCTGCTGTGGTCTCTCAATTTTTTCCAGAGCTGCGTATATATAAAGATATATACGTTCTTTTTTGAAAACCTTATTTTGTTGAATTCGTCCAATCACTTTTAAGTCATTCCATGAGAATAACAAACTTCTTAGGAGGCATGTTTGGGGCATGATCATTTTTATTGTCACATTAGAAAGGTCGTAGTCAGTATGATCGTGGAGGAGCATTCGCAAATATGCAGCACCATTAACAACCAATGGGACAAACAAGAAGCAGTTTCCTCCTCCAAAAGGCCAGGATCAGAAAATCATCAACACAACAATCGACAGAATATTTACAACCATTACAAAACAGAGTGGTCAAAGAAAATGACATGTTCATTCAGCTCCACAAAGAGGAAAGTCACAGAAACGAAAGCATTCCGGCCAGTTTACAAAAAGACTGCTCATCATAGTGGTGACTGGAAATGAAATACAGGACTGCAGAGGTCAAAGGTCGTGCATACACTCACACTATACTGCATACTGTTCACAGTAGTAAGACAGTGGAAAAGTTCAGTACACCATCACCTCAGCTGACTTTCTTCGTTTGGCTCAGGATAAGAAGTCAGCTCCAAACGCCCTGAAATGCTGCGAGTCGTTATACTGCTAACCACCTGCAGGGGGCGGCTCAATACTAACAGAGGAAACTGAAACGGAGGACTTCGAGGGGAATCGAGGCCAAGAAGGAGGAAAAAACTGAATAAGTGCCAGAAATTTAAACACCAGCAACCCCAACCCTAACCAGAAAATTAAACACCAGCAATAAATCAGCTTTTCTTAATACCCAACACCATCATTGAAACAAAGACTGTGATGTTTACATTACATGCATGTTTGATTTGTTTCTGTAACACATTTATTAGCATTTAATCATTGAAACTTTATTTATTTATTTAATTTTGCACTAATGAATAAAACATAAAAGTTCCTGGGCTTATTTTTTTATGGTAAATCATGCTTGCAAACTGTGGAATTACTTTTAATTTTAAATATTAAATTTTTATTACATCGTAAAGCAAAACAAATGAAACCTGGGAACCTTGGAAATGGTATTATTGAATTTTAGATTTACTTAAGTCTTTAATCACGTATATTTTTTCCCTCAGTACAAGGTGAAGTAAATTAGTCTCTGCATTTACTTTGAAAAGCAACATGTAAATAAAAAAGAAGTATAAACAAAAAATGCTCAAGTTTAATAGAAACTACATTTTTGAAACCTCCCATTCCTGTCAAAGGAAAACTGCCCTATACTTTTATCATGACCAGCACTGATATGAACATTTAAACAGTAATTCAGATTATTTTTTCCTTTTTTTTAAGAACATCAACAAAAAAAAAATAATAATTTGCAATATTTTCAAAAAACAAAAATATACAACCACTATGTTGAAGTCACTTTTTTCCTTATTCTTGGCCCGGACGTTCCTCTGTACAGGACTGTGTATGATTTCTGGTCAAAAAGTAAAAGAAAAATAAAATCTGTGTGTGTTTTGGTTGAGACGGGTTTAAATCGGAACTATTTTTAAAAATCACAACATAAAGAAACAACAAATTAGAATGGAAGAAAATAACTTTTGCTGCACTTTTTCTTTTGGTGCGTCAAAGTGATAAGAAGACCGGCTGAGAGTCAGGCTCTTTGGTAAGACTGTGACACTTTCACTCTTTTAAGCAAATCATTGATTATAAGCAGATTTTTTGCCAATCTTCAGCTTTTTTCCACTCTGATAAAGCTTGTAGGATCTTTGGTTTGTTTTTGGTTTTTTTTTGTTTGTTGTTCTGAGCGAAAAGTATTTTATTGTTTTGTTTTATCGACGCAAAATCTTTGAAAGTTACATATTCCTTGTCCTGTCACAGCACTTCCTTCGACCCCCAGAGCGTGAATTACCATCAGAAATAAATACTTTTGACACAAACGACCCAAACGTGGAATGTGTTTGATTTCGAGCGATACAAAAGACTGCTATCAAATTTCTCAAATACTCCTGACTGTGTCAGGTTCTCTGTAAAAAGTCAAAACTCCCTCCCTCGCTGTGACTCGAGTTTTACAAAACAGCTTTTAAAGAAGCTCCTGGTAGACAAATAAGCTCTCCTCCGGCTTAGAAAACAGTAAACATTTCCTGGTCTTTATTTTTTTTTCGTAAACTTTGCGGCTGTCGTTGCAGCGTCAGCGGGCAGGTCAGGTGAGGGTGTCGGTTGGTTGTTGTGCAGGTGTCGGTCAGGACTGGAGGAGGGTGTCAGCGCTAGGGGCCTTGTAGAGGTATTTCCAGATGGCATAATAATGCACAGCTGCAGCCAGCGCCACGAACACATGCCAGATGGCGTGGGCGAAGGGGATGACGCCGTCGCTCTTGAAAAAGAAAACACCAAGGCAGTAGATGAGCCCCCCGCAGGCCAGCTCTTGAACACCCTCAGTGTTGCTCTGTGGAGGGTGACAAAAACAGAAATTGCATGAGGGAAATGTAGAAATGTTATTTTACTGTCAATAATTGTTGTTAATAACAACACAATTAATAATGAAAAATAAATTAAAAGTCCTTAAAAGATTAAACTAATATATTAAAATTTTAATGGTGTAAAGCCTATACAGCCAAATGTCAAGAATTAGCATGAAAAATTAAAAGGCGGTCTGCTTAATTTTTATCATGATACGAGGCTGCTACACCCAGAATAACCACAAGAGGGCAGCAGAATTTCAGCACAGATTGAAATGTTGCAGTCTGGTGCACAAAATTAGAGTAATCCAGCCTTCTACTTAGTGCAAAACAGCTCAATAACATCTACTCTTTCTGTCACACTAAAATACTGATTTCTCTTTCTACAATGAGCTGTAAGCAGAGATTTTCTAAAGGGATTTAAAAGACTGTAAATTTGGCTGATTGAGGGAATTGATCTTTGAGAGTATTGTGTTGCTGTTTTGTTAAAATGTTATCATTCATTCAACATGACCAGGACACACACACACTCATAAAACTGAACTGATTTAACTCATAAAAAAATGTTCCGATCAAACTAACATGACCTCACAGAAACAGCCTGAAGACTCATGGGAGAGAAAATGGAAACCAAACACACTCATAAAAAAGTGAATGAGTATTGATGTTACCATTGACGTCACTACTGATGCCGGGAAGAAGCCCATTGTCAAATAGAAGGCCAGCTCAACTAGTTTATACCTGAAAAAAAAAAAACAGAAAAACAACAAGTTTACTGATGACGTGCATGAAACTTCATGTGACAAACTTGGAGGAACAACGGAAAAGAAACAGATTTTAAAAAAGGAAAAACAGAATATTTTGGATTTCATTTAAAGGCTGAGTTGTTGGGACTTGATTTCATCCTGACATGAGCGTTCATTTTCAACTTTTTAAAGTAAATCAAGCTTTTTCTAAACTTACATTCTTCTTATCAAGCGAAGGCCAGGTTCAAATGGGCTTCGATCAATCTTTAAAAATGTTCAATTCAAGCTCAAAGGAAACATTCAAGGGCAGAGGAAGAGTTTACATATGTGTAGGACTGGGCGATATGGGAACAAGTTTGAGTTTTCATTTGTCCTACGCTCATGAAAGCACCATAGGTTTGAACGATTGAACACACCACACCTGTGTATGAGATGCTGCAGCTCCAAAATTTAGTTTTCCTCCTCGTGCAGCAGATAGTTTGTAAATTTCCTCTTGAGTGTTTTTTCCCAATATTCACCTTCACAACCTGAGTTTCTTGTGTGTAAATGCCAGAAGTGAGTTTAATGATGTTTCACTGTCCAAGTTGGATGCTATATTGTGTGAATGTATTGTTTATCTTGAATAAGGCTAATGCTATCTCATGCTACTCGATGTTCATGTTATGTATAGTGTGAGGTGAACTGATTTTTGTTTGTATCTTTATCTGCAGAAACACAGTCAAATAAATCCACCACTAAACTGGACATCTGTATCCGTGTCTTTTAACGGGGGCACACACCATACACCCTGCTGCTCTGAATCCAGCTAAATCCTGGAGAACGCCCTTCTCTCCTTTTTAATGCCAACTATCGAAAAAGTATATCGACCCTGTTTTACATTGATATTGAGGGAAATTAATTTTAGATATATATTGTTACCGTTTTATCGCCCAGCCCTACATATGCAGTATAAAATCTGCATATTTTATTGTTTTTAAAAAATGTTCATTTCAAATGCACATGCTAGCACATTCCTAAATGTGCAGCTAAACTGGTCCGCCTGCGGTCCTGATGCATTGAGATTTACTCTTGGCTTGTAGAACATGTGAAGATTAGACCTCACAAAGCTCCACTGTTATCTGCATGCTTGTAGTGTCTTATTTTCAGTATTCAGTACAAACACTTTTTAATGCACTCACTTTTCGTGGTAGTTGAAGACATAAATGGTCCCAGCAGCAGCCATGAGCCAAACAAACCAGCGCATGTGAGCTGCCAGAGGGCCGAGCTCACGCAGATTTAACCTGAGGAGGAGAAGAGATGAAATGTTACACCTCCAGTCAGACCTGCAGCTGCTCTAAGGAAACTTTTCCACCTGCGTGACACTCACCAAGGTGTGTAGGAGGCAGCGATGAAGAAATAGATGACCACCCTGTCGCACATGTGTAAACAATGCTCCATCGACCTGAAACAAAAAGACGGACAGGTTTTCTCGGGTCAAGTCCGGTTACTCAGGGTCGAAAACTTACAAAACACAATCATGCAAAACATTTAACGCATTTTCTAGTGGGTGCAAACATCCCACCAACACCTGATCAACTTGCCAACAAACCACATGTTCTGATGACTGTTTATGAAACTCGAGGTTCTTTCTTTTTTTACTTTCTATTTCATGGTTGAGTCACGTAGCTGAAGCGGGGAAATCCATCCTCTAAGATCTGCCTGGCATACGAGTAAATGCTCGTTGATTTGCAGACTCCAGATCTAACAGTCTATATGAGTCATTCATCTGACTTCTGTACCTCTGCTGGTGAAAGCTGTCTGCATGAGAAACAGGAAGTAGAAAACTAGAGCAAGTGGTCGCTCATTTTCCACCAGGTGATCTGGTTTGGTTTAATTTGTCGCAGTTTGGTGCAGTAAACCCTGATCGTGTTTGTAAACTGGCTGCCGTTCAGACCACTGGTGAGAGCAGTGCAGCGTGCGGATCTCAACCCAAATGTGGAGAAAAATAATCGATTTAGGTCTACATTTTCTTTGTACCAAAGCATTACATGAAAGTACTTCTGGGTAGTATTTCAAAGCAAAAGTCTGATCTGATTCCTGTGTTTAATATGGATTTCTTTGTGCACTCTTAGACGTGGATTGTTCCAGTATATTATATCATCGACAGGCTTTTTCACACAAAGCCCACATGGAAACAAGACTGAAACTCCTCCAAACCCACATTGCGTTACGTGGGCAGCTTTTTGAAACCTACAGCTACTAAAAAAAGCAGAAAAAAATCAACATAAAATCTGAAAACAACAGAAAGAAGATGAGTAGGAAGAGCCTCTATGTGCTTTAAGACAGCAAAGCATAACTACACTTGTGTTTTCTTTTGCGAACACTCAAACACTTTCTCTCTTTACTCGTGAGAAACTGTTGCAGCCGCTCCAAATTCGGCCTTTCCTGTTAAAGATTCTCTCGTCGCAAAGGGGCCGACCTGCTTAAAAACGAGGTGAAACTGTTTAAAAAAGCAGGTTTGTCCTCTTTACCTCAGGTGGCTCTTCTTCCAGGTGATGATATGAAACACAGTGGAGACCAGGAAGAGCGCGCACAGGCCCAGTCCGTAAACCAAGGCGGTGATTCTCTCCCAGCCGGTGTCTGACAGGCGGTGAAGCAGCGCCATGCCCACGAAGGCCGGCACGATGAGGAGCTGCAGGGAGGGAGAAAACACACACATACACACACAAAAGCATTAAAAATTGAGGTGCTAGAGATCATGTCCGCCGCATTAATAATAAATCTAAACCTCTTACCGCATGAGTGTAGCAGTTTGCAGCATGCTCATAACAGGTGGGCTGGTAGCGGCAGTTAGCAGAGGCCCGTCTGTTCATGAACCTGAAACACACATATGGAGAAATACACATGAAAAATTTAAAACCTTTCAGTCTGATTCAGCAGCTGTCTTACAAGAAAAAGTCAATCAAATCGGCGCAAACTTCCCGGTGAAACCTACTGTGAGGGATGTGAAACTGACTGAAACGTAAGAAGCAAGTAAAACCATCTGCAATGAGTGTGTGTATTTCTCTGCAGTTAGTTTTCATGCTTGAAGCTGCCGCTGTAGCGTAGGTGTCAGCTGAAGTGCAAAAGCAGCGTTTTCATTTTCAAGGGTTTCAATGAGTAGTAGTGTTAAGGAAAACAGAATGAGGTTTCATCTGTCAAAAATAGACATTAATACACGAAGAGGATCAAATCTGCAAGACGTATCTGGTGCTGCTTTGTCTGCAGGAGGCACTGAAATGAACACACAAGGAATGCTCCATACAGAAGCTTTAAATACGTTGAAGTAAAATGAGCTGTTAATGAACTTAACTGTCATAAAAGAGAGACAGGCGGATAAAAAGCAAACATGACAACGTCCAGAAGAAGAATAAACAACAGAAACAGAGTCCGACCTTTGCCTCTGTACACCTGGTTAACCTTTAGAATAAAGTGGACAGCACTAATCACATTACACTAACTCCATTTAGAATAACTTGATTCAATAAATATCGTCCTTGTCGTAGAGACAGCGCATGACTCACTTTTGAACTGTTTTAACCCACACCAGTTTCCACTTTGACACTCTCTGTAACTGTTCTCACTACAGTGTGTAGTTTTTGTTGCCGCTCAGAATCCTGACCCTCATGACACAGTGCTAACATTAAGTTAATGTCTGACTGCATTTGGTGATTCAGGCTCATTTAGAAAGTGAAACTCAAGTGACATTTATTTTAAGATGGTTAAACATTTCCGGTAGGATTAAAAAAAAGCAGCAGCCACAAACAACTGACAGGAGTAAGAGAACATTAAAATAAGACAAATTAGCCGAATAAAGCCAACATGATACTTAGGGATGTTACGATTACCGGTAAAATGATAAACCGTGGTAAAATGTCTGACGCATGTGCATTGTGTAGTATACAACTTGTAAACCTGGTGATTTTTCTGTTTTGTTTGATAAGCACTTTTATGCTTTGGGCACCGTTCGGAAACTGATCAGTTCAGTTATGTTCAGTTAAACTAAATATTCAGTTCAGTAGATAACCATGTGTGGCTTATATTGAGGTGCGCTCTATAGTCAGGAAAATACGGTAGTATTCTGTAAATATCTACAGTATATATATATATATATATATATATATTATAACTTAATAAAACAATTTAAAAATCGGCGGATTAATTGGTGATCGGATATCCCCCCCCCCTAATAATCGGTATCAGCATCGGCCCCAAAAAATCCATATCGGTCAGGCCCTAATTTCAACAATACCAAGTTAATATTGAAAACCGTGATAATTTTGGTCACAATAACCGTGATGTTAAATTTTCATATCCTTACATCCCTAACAATACTGCAGTTAAGTTGTTAACTAAGATAAACATTGAGTAACAGCATGTCACAGAGGGAACTTGTATATATATGCACAAGAACTACCAGCATATTTAAGCCCACTCCATGCTTGCTGTGAGGACTTTGACTCACATACATGTTACTTTTGTCTTGCAAACACTCACATCTGCAGATAAATGGCGTATTTCCTGTTTGAGAAGTCGTCCCTGAGAGTGTTCAGTGTAAACTACGTTGTGACATTTACACAAAGGCAGTTTAGTATTGCTTCTGACATCAATATCAGTCATATTCTGAAATCTTTGGCATGGTTGAAGTTTTACATTGAATGTTTACATGAATTTAAGATGATATCTGAACCTTACTGTTGTTTTAAGATCCCTGTGGACTTTTATTTTATTGTCAAACCCACAATCTCATAACACAAGGGGTTATAATATTATGTTCAGTGGTGCTAAAGCTTGTTAATTCTTCAAATATTGTGCCAAAATAGATTATCACCACACAAAAAAGGGCACCATAGCTATTTTAACCCCTGAAAGAACTGCTGCAGATTAGTTTTCTGTTGCATATTTGTTGAAATCACTCATGTTTGCCTCTAAAGTTGATGTTTTATATTCATAAGTCCGTTGTTTGTACTGCACTTAAACTATATCGTGATCCCAAAGAGGGAAACGTGTTACTGTTAACGGTCATGAGGATTAATGTCGCACCCAAAACAGCATGTGGTTCATAACTAACGCTATAAGTGACAAGTATAAAGTTGTTTCAGTGATATTAGCTCAAGTTGAAGCACATATTCTGTACGAGTTCACCCACCTCTGATAGCTGTTCAACCTCTTCATTTTAGTCTTCTTTACAGCAGGAAGCAAAGCAAAAAAACCCGCGTGATAAAAGGGAGAATAGAGCAAACTGTCCTGAAAAAATGAAAGTAAAAGAAAGGCCTAGCATTAGCTAACCATAAGCTAACTTTAACCGCAGCAGCTGCTACAAGGCACCGGCAGCGTAAACACTCCCACTACAAAGGCACCGTTTCAGCCGTTTCCGTAATACCATTCTGGATCAAACACCGGCTCACTGCCTCGTCTGGAAAGTTAAAGTATCCATGAGCACCAGGAAGAGGCAGGCCAAACCGAAAAGTCCCCCCCACCTGCAAACAGGCTCTACCGGCTAATGGGAACCGGTACCCCACCGAGAGACACCGAGCCGCTGAACAAAAACTACGATTTCTGTTCGTGCCCCGCCGCCCAACAGCGGTAACATCGTAACTGACAGCAGCCTGAGCCAATGAACGGTGAGATAGGCGGCAATGTGGCCAATCATATACAAGTAGGGCGGAGTCAACAAAACAAGTGGATACTGCATTTCACATTATTCAACTGGAGTATCTGTCTTTGCAGGGCTTTAGGGGAAAGGTTTTGGGGCTTTTTTTGTTGTTGCAATAATATGTAATTTCTCATCGCCCTTTTGGAATTGTATTATGCCACTTCGTAATTAAAATGGTTTAAAATAAGTCTGCAGGTGTAAACGACAACCTCAAAAGCAATTCTGATACTTTCTTTGACCGTGAGAATCTTGTAATTCAAGTGATTATGAAATACTAAATAAATGTTTTTTAAAGAACTGACTTTAATTAAGCACCACTTTCTAATGAAAAACATCAAGCATGTGTGATTTAGATAAACCTTTAAAAAATTAGAGTTCAATAAATAATACCTAGAGTTTACAAAATATTGTATTTACTATCTTTTTTAATTCAGGTTTCATTCAGTAAAACCATAAAAAACAATACACTTTATAGATACATGCAGATGGATTAAATGGTTTGTCATTCTCCATTCTCTCCTATTATTATTCCTTTATTTCTAAGTCATTATCTCGTGCATCCACGTTTCTATCTTGCTTATAAAAGATATTCGTATTGTTTGCTCTTGTTCTTTTTTGCAAAAGATAATTATTTGTGCCCACAATAAATGTGGATTGTGCACACAAAATAACATATTTCCCCGCTAAATTATTATAATGATTGCACAGCTTTAACATTTTTGCAAAAAAAAAAAAAAAAATACTTGAGCGCACAAAACAAGTGGCTTTTTTCCCCCCACAAAATAACAACTTGTGCAAATTCATACTTTGCTGCCACACAAGTATTTATCTGTTTCCCGAGGATATTTGTGTTCTGTGCCAAAGATAACAACTTGTCCCAACTAGATAATAGTATTGTGTAAACGAGATTAATACTTTTACAGCAAGGTAATGAGTGTCCACAAATATAAACAAAACAATAAAAAGAAGAACTTTGTGTTGTGTTCCAAGATGAATAAAATAAATCTATAAGATTCATGTGTATTGTTATGTATTTAGCAAACAAAATGATATCTTGTGCACACAATGTAAGAAAAATGTTCTAGGTAAGGGTAAATATGTACATGCCATGCAAATTGTTGAGTTATAGTAGCATGCAATATAAGAAGTTCCTTGGAAGATGCAACATGAAGCACAGCGTTTGTGTCAACAGCTTCAATGTGTTTCAACTAGAATGTGGTTTCTATAAATATGCAACCATAAGGCAGGTTTTTCTGCAGGCGCCAAGTTACTGAAAAGACTAGTAGCTGGTGTCGTTCAAACGGAGAACCAGAAAAGCGGAAATCTGGAGTGTTGAGGCCAGAGATTGATGTTCCTTGCTGTCACAGTGTCACAGGCAGACGCTGAACAGCACAAACAGTGTCACGCTGTAACAGCTCAGTTACATAAGGCTGCTGTAACTTGATCAGGGACTCTCAGATATAACAGAGCCTTTATGTAAGAGCAAAGTGCAATCCTGGGGCTTAATGAAGTTCGCGGTGTTCGCTGTGAGAGCAGCTCAAAACAAGAGAGAAACCTGCTGAACCCTATTGTTTTATAGGCACTTCCTCTTGGATTACTAAAATGGGTTAGAAAAAAAAGGTTTTGTTTCTATCAGAGATATACAGAGAACATCATGAGGTGGATTAAATAAAAAGTATCTGCGTCATAGAAGTGCTGCCAGAGTAGGGGACAAAACTGGTCCAGAAAAAAAGAGAGAGAGAGCCATTGTCTGTGTGGTGTATGAAACATACTGTACAGTAGAGCAGACAAAAAGAAAGTGCCAGAGGCCTTACAGAGTCTCTTTATGCTTCTGGCTCTGGTCTGTTTGATCCCCCATGATGCCTTAATGCGATACAGACCTGAGAGCTGCAGGTTGGGAGCCTGGAGTCACAGCAGGTCGGGATATCTTTTATTCCCGTCTGTAAACTATCCGTGCTTGTGTCTGTCTGCTGCCTCTGTTTGGGGGAGGATAGAGTTACTCTGGTGTTTAACCTGCACTCTCACTGTACACAGGTACAGGTGTCTCTTTACACCAACACTGTGACTTTAAGAAGATTTGTTTTCAAAGGGTGACAAGTCAGGACTGCAGACAGGACAGTTTCACAGCAGGACTCTTCTACTACAGAGCCATGCTGTTGTAATTTTTCAGATCTTCCCTGGAGAAGTCGTTGTCTGGATGGCAGCAGATGTTGCTCCTAAACCTGTATATATTGTTCAGCATTAATGACGCACTCACAGATGTGGATGCTACCCATACCATGGACACTTATAATCCCATACCTCCAGGGATGCTGGCTTTGAACCATGTACTGATGATGACCAAAGTGGTCCCTCTACTCTTTAGAGGAGAGGATGTGGCATCCATGAGTTCCATGATTTTGAACATCCTATTTTTAGAGTTTTCCTCTTCCCCTCAGTACATCTTAAATGGGTAAAGGTTTAAAGAAGTCTCTGGTGTTTCTGGATCATGCTTCCAGCTGGTTTCCTCTTTACAGGCTTCAGTTTTAAATTGAATTTGTGGATACAGTGATGAGCTGCACAGATAATGGTTTTAGGAAGTGATTTTAAGCCCATGCAGTGATTTTCACTTCAGCATCCGATCTGTTTCATACAGTGCTGCCTGAAGGCCTAAAGATCAGGACCATCCAGTACAGACTTTGGTCTTACAGAGATTTCTCAAGATACTCTGAATCTTCCAATGATATTATGAATAAAATACCCCGATTCTTTTGACATTTAATTCTGATTTCAATTTAAATAAAAAAAAACAGCATAAGGCTTCAGTGACTTACAAACTAAATTTTGTTTCTCAGCATTTGGCGTTCAAACTCTTTTAGAATTGGCATTGTGGAATTTGTTGATTGTCAATCTTTTAATTGAAATCAGGAAACTGTTTCTGTTACTGTTAGCCCACAGAGAATAAGTCACACTTCCTTTTTTAACCCACACAGGTGGATCTTCCTTGCAAGATAAACTGTAAAAACAAAGAAAGTCATGATTGTGTTCACTTTTGGTTTTTTTTGAGACACAGGTAAGTGACCATATGTGGATGAAAGAAGTCAGATTGTTGTAACAACTTTCTTTGTGGTTAAAATCTTCCCTGACACAAATGAGAACTCAACCAGACCACAAACACATATGATCAATCTCACAGACTATTTATTTTTCTGACTTTTGTGAAATGATACAGAGAAATCTTATGACTCAGTCGGTGCGTTTACATGCACAGCTTAATCGGACTAAGCTCATAATTCTTTTTTTTTTGCCAAATTGGACTTCTCTCCTTGTCCGCACGAAAATTAAATTCTTTGACGTGAACGTGTCCTCCACCCCAAAACTAGGGGGCGATATGGTTCTTTTCAGTGGCGCCGTTTCCAACCCCATACAACCGTCAACAACAACAGCGGGTTCATGCCAGACGTTAGAAGTGGCTTCAACTGCTGCTGGGCATTTTCGAACAAGAAGATGGAGCATTGCACAGTATTGTTTTTGCTGTTCATGATGCACATGCTACTTTTTCTGTCGGAAAAAGATGTTTACATGCACTTCAGTTGTCCGGTCGTAATTCGAGTACGGCAATAATTTGGTTTTCTTGAGTGTTATGTAAACGTACTGAGAGTTGGAGAAAATGCTTATGACATTTCCTTCGCACATGCTCCTCCACGAGCTTAAGTTGTGCCCTGTTGCCTCATACCTGCACTGAGTCATGGTCTAATTGAATGATTGACAATACCTGTGTGGGAGTGTCTGACATTTGCTGGGAGGTTGGCCTAATCCAGATCTACACACTTAAAACCCTCATGTGTAGGGCTTGGGTTTGAGAGTTCATGGGGGCATCATAACACCAGAAACAATGCTGAAGACAAGAGGTTAGAAGCAACAAAACTCCATGAAGAAATATAAACAAAACTAAACCTGCTGCTCTTCTGCAGGTGCAACTTGGCATCAAAATTCTCCAACAAAGCCTCATGCACTTTGTGTCACAAGTTTGACACGATGGAGCGCCAAACCAGCAACAACCTTAGCGTACCAGTGCAAACATTATAGCCTGGCAGCTCACAAACTACTGACAGCTTCAGGAGTTTTTTGAGAACAAGAACAACAAAGGCTTTAATTTTGTTAGAGAATTCGCAACAAAACTAAGATGTGCTTCACCTTAAATGCACAAATTTCAAGCATTACAGTAACAAAGCAAAAACATGTGTCCTTTCCCTTAAATTGCAGTGGTTTAAAAAAAAAAGTTATGTGTTGCACCAGAATGTTACATCGCAGTTCAAAAAAGTAAAGTGCAAAAACAGAACAAAATATAAAATACGAATTGCACTATTTAAAGATTATAGTGCATGAGTAAAATTGTAAATTGTATATGTATAATGCACAATTTGAAAATATACAGCACTAGTGGAACTAATTGTTGCACTGTTAGATAAACAGGTCGCATCATGAAGTTTAATACACTGGACCATAAGAAACATCTATCGCACCATTAGAGAAATAAAAGTAGCACCGGCAGAGCCACATATTACACAACTGGAAAAAATTTGCATGACCAGAAAAAAGGTGTGGCACAAAGCAATAAAACATTCACAAGTAGAAAACTCCTGACACCATTAGAAAAGTTTTGTTGCACCGACAGAGCTGAGCTGCTGCAAAAATTCTGCAAAATTAAAAAATGAAATAAATTGCACCATATGCTGCACTTAATCTTTGTTTTGCATCATTTGAAAAAATGTATTGCATGGCTCGAATAGTATAGAATACACCTCACTAGAAGAGCTTGATACTGTGCGATTAAAACAAATTATTGCACCACTGAAAAATTTCATTGCACTCTTAGAAAACCATATCGCTCAATTATGTTGGCCCATTTATTCTATGTATTGCACTATTTTAAAAAATGCACAG